GGGTCACAGCCTCCCTCGGGCTCTGCCGTGGGGTCCTCCCCGGGCTGCAGAGTGAGTGTCTCTGTCACTATTAACTTCCATGGGCCGCAGGACACAGTCGGCCTCACCACGGGCTGCAGGGGAATCTCTGCTCTGGCACCTGGAGCACCTCCTGCTCCACTGACCTGGGTGTCCACTGAGCTGTTCCTCTCACATATTCTCACTCTCCTCTCCTGCTGCAATTGCACAGTTTGGGGTTTTTTTCCCCGCTTAAACACATTATCCCAGAGGTGCTACCCCCATTGCTGATGGGCTCAGCCTTGGCCAGCAGCAGATCCATCTTGGAGCCGGCTGACATTGGCCCTGTGGGACACACGGAAAGCTTCTAGTAGCTTCACACAGAAGCCCCCCCCTGTAGCTCCCCCAAGCTACCAAGACTTTGCCACGCAAACCCAATACAGTGGCACTGGATGATTCTACAGAGGCTGAAATGTCTGTTAGGCCTGTGGCGTTACTGCCTGACCTACCCTCTCTTCCGGTGTTTTCCAGGGTGAAAAGACAACCTACAGCAAATATCACGGAACACCGCTGTACAATTTATGTAGTGGTGCCACGAATTCTTTTGCATGCTACTGGTGTAATTATGAATCTGCTGAGTTATTTCATGCTCTTTGAGACTATCATTGAAGCATTCTGGTGAGATTGGAGATTGTCATTTCCAAGAATGATTTTTATGGTATTTGCTTAATCTCTTGAATAGTATGCACTGGGCATTGTTCCTGAGAAATTATTTTCAATGCTTAAGAGCAGATGGTGTTTAACTGCTTATGTGGCGCAAAAAAAAAAAAAAAAACCAAAGATAGTGGAAGAAGGAAGACTTTACAATATGTACTGAATAGTTCGCAGATTTATCTCTGTCAGTCCAAATGGAAAAACTGGCACCAGCTAGAAGAAAGCACTAGCATTTCGAGAAACAAATCTGTCAATTGTTTTGGTTACGTGCACTGTAGAGATTTAACTACATTTGGGGCACTCATAAAATTAAATAGTGATAAGCTTAAACACTGCGATTTGTAAGTAACAGACCACTGGTGGTTTTGGATGCAATTTGCAAAGTTAATTTTGTTTACAAGAACTGAAGAAAAACCTCAGTTTCATGCTAGGCAGAAAAGGCCTCTCAACAGTTCCAAAGATTAAAAATTAAGTTACACAATATTTTAGTAGGTGCTAAATACTTAAACTAATCTGATTTCTTTAAAAAACATGGATTTCAAAGTCATTTACACGCTAGAAGCTGGATTTCAGGAACCACCTCACAGATGTGTGAGGTAAGAGATCGAGTCAGTAACTGTTTTTGTTCTTGTCCACTGGCACGGATGGAAATAATCCATTCTAGTAGAAAGAAGGCAGGCACAGGCAAAAATCCAACCAAGACAAATATTTAAAGGCTTATTGTAGTTTTTTGCAGTAATACGGCATGTAGCAGTTTTCCCAGTTAAATTGTTCAGTATCATTAGCAGAGAAGTACTAATTTCTATGCTGCAAATTTGCTCATATTAGCAACTTCATTTGAATAAAAAGGCACCACCCTGAAAGAGCTCAAAATCTAGCTTTTTGTTTTTTTGCTTACCCACCCTCTGCCCTCCTCCTATCCCCTCAAGCTGTCTTCTGTTCATGATGTTTTCCTGCTGTTTTTCAACACCTTTTGGACATACCATGTAACCTGACCCCAGCTAAATCCAGGTAATAAAAATTACCTTGAACCACACAGTCAAGCAGAACCTAAAAGACAGCAAGCTGGATATACAAGCATGATCCCTGTTTTAAATTTGCTTGTTTCTACCATTCCCTCACAAACACTAAACCATCATCTCGTTTGAAACAAACAGTGAAATAAAAAGTGGTTTGATGATTACTGATTCTTCAGTGAATTCGAAAAGCCCTGCCCATGACAGAGTTTTGCAATTTTAATCTATAAAGAATGTTAAATAGATTTGCTTTTACAATCAAAGAGAGTAGAGCGGTCAGAACAAAATGTACACATTTCCACTATTCACTACGGTGGAAAAGCTTCACATACTAGAATGAAAACAAAAATACTTACGGTGGAGATGGCATTGACCATGCCATTGGTGATTTGGTCTTGACGCATATGCTTCACTACATCGAACTGAGCTGCACGTTGCTTGGGGATTACCTGGTCAGCAATCTTTTTCAGTTCAGAGTTAAATTTTTTGAACAAATCTTCAAACAGGAGAGAAAGAAGCTGGAAATACACAACAATTGGATTAAGGGAAAAATTATACTTCTCCGGGTCTGGAAGTGGGGAAGGGGGAGCAGAAACATGTTTAATGTTTCTATGTTTATATTAATTGTCAGTTAAAAAATATCCTCTCTGTTTCTCAAATGATATTTTTCTCCTAAGTTTTTTGCCTCATTAAATTGAAATGCAATATTAGAGAAATTATCTCATAACAGAAAGCAAATTAAGCAGAAGAATGGTCTAAGCCTATGCATTTATCCCTACTTGGTTTGCTTTAATCCTTCCTTCACAATATCTTAACGTACCCATCCATCTCTGTGCTACCCATTTGCTGCTTTCCCTAATCTGCTACATTAGAATCCAGCTGATCTACTTCTTCCTTCCTTCCAAATGACACAAACTCCAAAACTTCCAAAAATTTAATACCCTAAATGTATAATCCTGAATTACACACAAGATGTGGTGGCAAGACCAGCTTCTGTTCTAATACTGGATGGAATAACTGCAGTAAATCAGGAAGTTTTCCTTGGAAGTCACTTGGAGACATTCTCCTATTAAAAGTGAAAAAGGCTGTTTAAAGTGCCTCTTTCCAGGAGCTACTTACAATGGACGAGACAGGCACCCAAGTGCCTCTGAGGGGCCCTCCAGGGAAGCAAGTCAGCAACGCGGAGTTTGGAAGCAGCGCACGGTTTGCAAGACTGGGCTGAAGCGCAGAAGATGCACAGTTACCATTGCTTCTGGACAAGCAGAACTGAGAGACATTTTTAGGGGCCCAGAGGCAACCTCTGCTCTTGACAGCTGGCAAGAGGTATCTCAGGCTACGTACGAAGCTTCCTCACTCAGATACACTTTTATCCTGCTCCTCTCTGCCAACCACAATCTATGGAAAACCAGTTACACTCACAAAGAGTTCACCTGGTTCAACACCTGCCATCCTTTTCTAGAAGTGCTACTATCTGGAAAGCATAATGCTCTTCCTCATGTCTCCCTTAAAAAAACCAGTTAAGTAGCAAAGAAGCTACTTAACATAGCTGAGTTGGAAAAAACCAAACCAAACTAAACCAACAAAAAAACCCAACCAAACCAGTAATATAACCCTTAAAAAATGCTGTAATTTAAGCCAATTAATTCCCGTATATGCATTCTAATTACTTCTAGGTCTTAAAATAGCCATAAAAGGAAAAGGCTACCAAAGTTTGTGATCTGACTTTTTTGCTTTCCAAGCTGCTTTGCTTCTGAAGTTTGCTCAACCTCTCCTTGCAGACACTAATAGCTTCCCAAAACACTTAAATCTGCATTACATGATACATTTTAAGTGTTCACAATGATTAGTTTTGCAAGTGAGCAGTGTAAATTCTAAAGCTTGGCAGTCCTGTCCTGGGACTCTATTTTACAGTGGCTCCCAGAGTCAGAAGAGCTAAGAACGCAGCAGCTACCACTGCCAGAAATGGCAGTTCCCAGTGTACAGAGCATTGTAGGGCTGACCAAGCTATGTATTCAGCCACCACAAGCCAAGACACTCTGGAGTCGGTTGTACAATTTAATTTCCGTATGAGCAGAATTAAACTGAATTTTAACTGTCTCCCATCAGAATAGTCCCAAGTTTTCCTCGCCTTTTGGAAACAAGAAAGCAAATGACTCATTGTCGCTCACTGTGATGGGCCACCAGCTTTCATTTGCTGTCCCCTACCTACATGCCCCAGCTGGGCTGACCAAAGCATTTGGTAAACGACACTGTAAAGCAGCTTACTAAATTATGAGGTACCGTTTTCACTGGCATCACAAATGCATTTGGGAATAAAAATAATACCAAATAATGCCTGGAAACTCTGACAGACATCTGATTTGCGATAAAATGCTCTCACTACCCTTCATGGAGAGAAAGCTTGGATTATCTTTGACAATCTACCCTAAAAGACATAAGGAACACCTAGCGTTCAGTCACTAAATTGTAAAGAGCCAGAGAAAACACACACTGTATGCTAACACTTGACAAAAATGAAATTTTATTTCCACTCTGGACAGAGAGTTTCTGATGAAAATTGGTTAAGTGGCTTTTTTTAGACCTGGCCTTGGCATGAGAGGAAGGTCTTGCAGACCCTCTTCCTCCTTCCGATGCTTGTAGTACCATTAACATTTACAAGGCAATGCCCTCTCACCACTGTCGAAAGACATCCAGTCACCTGCTCATTTAAGTGAGATTTCCATCAGAAATAAAAACATCTTTTATGAAGCATCATATTAGGAAGGAGAACACACCAGAGTCTCCAAAAAGTAGATTATGAGAAAAGTCTTTCAAAAGTAGGGAAAAAGTAAAAGGAAGGAATGTACACAGTTTTAAGATGTCTGATAGTCTGACAAGCAACCAGGTTGCTCAAAGCCTCATCCAGACTGGCCTTGAACACTTCGAGGGATGGGGTACCCACCGCTTCTCTGGGCAACCTGTTCCAGTGCTTCACCACCCTCTCCTGGAAGAATTTCTTCCTGATATCTAATCTAAATCTCCCCACTTTCCATTTAAACCCGTACATCAAGTACACCAACTTTCTACGATTTGCCAGTCTGAAAAGCATCATGCTTTGCTCATTTCACTCACAGACTCTCGGTCTCTAAGAGCTCTGACTATCTGGCAAAGCAGAATCTCACAATAACCACATTATTTAGGTCAAGAGCAAGAGATTAAAGAAAAAGGATGGAATGCCAGTGATAATATTCAATGGATTTTATAGTTAGTCCAGGGCCTTTCAGGCCGCTTCAGACAGGAGCACTAAAGAGCAAATTATATTTAAGAAAAAAAAAAAATACTGACAGCTCATCAATTGATTTTCATTGAAAATCCTAAGAAAAATTAATAAAGAAGTTAAGCTGCTGAAATACAGTTTCACCAATTAGCTTAATGTCAGAGAATTCTAATTAGGCGCCTTGAGATTGCTATTTAGCGTTTAAGCCTTTAGAGTGCCAAATTCTCCCTTTCACACAAACTGGTTGCAAAATTAAAGACATTAGGCAGCCTTAATTATATTATCAGAACAGCTGGGATTAGGCAATCTCTGAAGTCAAGGCGGTATTCTTTTGTCACAGGGTAGAAATCCCTTGCTTTCCAGGGTGCCGGATTTTGGTGCTGTTCCATATCTCACCCATACAAAGCAAGCTGCATTAGAAACAAAAAAAAATGAGGACAAAGAACAGAGTAATGCTTAGCAAATAATGAACACATTAAGGAAAGAGAAAAGGTAGGTGAAAAGATTAAGCCTGAAATCGGTAGGTTTTGCTAACACCTCAGCTGGCACCTGGCCTACCGAGCCTCTAGTGGCAGGAAGACTAAGAGAAGGCTCTGTAAACCAGCTTGGCTAGTGGATACAACTCTGTTATCTAAAGCTAAAGCACATTTCGTACTCTCTTGTCCCATGGGGTGTGAAATTAGCAGCTATTGTTTTCACACATTTTTATAAACACAATGCCTTTTATGTCTTTACATTGTTTAGACCGCTGTGTTTTTCTTCTCACATGGGGATGGTTTTTTTTTTTGCTTTATTCAAATTTTAAATCGACAGGATTTTTATTCCCAGAACATGCTGGCATTAAAAAAAAAATTTTATAAGTCAACCTTTTTACCCACACAAACTTCAGCTAAACTGGCAAAAAATCTCTACACTTTTTAGTTTGTAATCCAGTCAAATTAATATTACACTGATAACGTGGCAGAGGGGAATAGCTTGAAATGAGCTTTTAAAATATCACACAGAAGCCAGAACTACTCTTCATCAAGTGTTACAACACCCCCCCTGCATAGTTCTCCTTTATGTAGTAAAAATACACATTAGCTGTGTTATGATAATCCTCTACATTTAAAAACTCAGCCCAGTTAAATTAAAACAACTTTTGTTGTTAACATCTGTGCGCGCAGAGGTCTTTTTCTTACAGCTTGTAAAAAACTTTACCTGCTCTAATTTCGACCTCTGAAAATATTAGGAGAAAACAAACTCTTCCTTCAATCCAGTTGAATAAGAACAATACGATGCCAACGCAACAATTAATTTTACTGATTGCAGTCATACTGAACTACAGCAACAACATTACAGCAGAAACCAAATCATTGCAGCTTAAAATATTTGCCCCGTTAGAATATTACACTAGTGTCCTCTTCCTACTCCTTACACTTAGAAATAAATTCTGCTTCAGCACAAGACTAAAAGTTTGGTGAGCAGTTTAAATATTAATTTGAAGAAAACTTTTTTTTTCCCTAATAGGTTAAGAATTTGGTGTTTTTTCATTGTATTTGTGTTCAAGACGTCTTCATTTTTTCAGTAAGCTAGGAAGCAAAGCACATGTTTTTACTCTCCGACGATTGCACACGCTCTGTGTGTGTGTTCACATCTGCGCATGGAAGAGAGGGCAGGGTGGGGAGGAGAACAGGAGTAGGAGACAACATGCAAGCACACATCTTAAAAAGTACAGTAAGATGAGAATTCCCACTGGATACGAACAAAAAGAAACAGGTATCGTTACTTGTGCTGCAATACAGATTACATGGGGAGCCAAGATGCATAGTTTCTCCAACCCGGTGCATTACATACACTTCTCTGAATTTCTGATGCATCATCAATAACCAGAGAAGATACTGACTGCCAAAACTCCAACTTAACACAGAGCACAGCAAACAAGTCCAATCCTAACCTAAATTGGTTAACCAAATAACTACATGTGGAAAAGAAAAATCCATGCCATGGTATCTAAGCAGTTCCTTCACCTGACAGGTAATTCCCGCTGCATTAGCAGAACGTAGTTTGGCCAACGGCTGTGAACTGCCACCCTCTCTGCAAAACAACGGTTAAACCATTCCCTCCTTCACAGCCCTTTGTTACTGTTCCCACCTCCAGTGTCAAAGTTCTGCAAGCAGAGGAGTCTACACTATCCGTTTTCATGAGTTGCTCAAGTTAACTTTAAACCCTTTACGTGGTTAATCCATGCTACTCTAGAGCTAGAAAGGCAACTGACAACAAAAAAGCAATCTTATGGGCTTCTCCAAGCTACAGGAGGCTTGAGTGGCTGCCCTGTGAGCTCCTACACAAGCTGGGTTCTCCACAGTGGGCCAGCCTAGACTTGACACACAGGCACTTGGTCCCAGTTTATTCCCCTACCCAGTTGCTTAGAGGGGGGCACTGGAAGATGGATCTTACTGCTTGGCACTAACAGTGTTATAATGGAACTAGAACTGATGCCGTATTTACACTGTTCTGCCTTTTTATCTGGTATATAAGGAGGCAATACAGAAGTGAGGATATAATTTATTAAGTCTCAACTGGGGATGCATATCCTTGAGTCAACACAGAAAAACCAACAATAATAAAATGAGAGGAAAAACACTTCAATCAAGACAATAGGGATGCTGCTTATGATGGATCTTTTAGAAATAGATAGTCACAAAACCCCAAAAGAGCACTTTGCTCTGAAGTAAAAACTCACCTGCCCTGCCAACTCCAAACGTTTATTTCCATAGTAGTCTCTGTCATCTACTTTATTTTCTCCTTGAGCCAAAATTACTCTGCGCACCATCACTGCTGTGTATATGCACTTGGCACGAAAATTGAATTCCTTCACCTGTAAACAAACAAATAAAAAATACAAAAAACCCAGTGATGTTTCAGGATCAGTTCCTTAGTTCTTATTCAAAGATATCCATTTAAATCAATGGGCTGGCTGAGAAGTTATGAAAGGGGTATGTGTGCTTTACCCCCTCAAAAAACGCTGAGTAATATACATTAGTGAAACTGAAACACATAGCAAATGAAAACAAATCAGAATAAAGGTATAGGTCATGAGAGTAAGCTCCTGAACTAACAGATGATACTGCCTGGCTATGCAGAAATAATGCAGAGTATGGTAAATTCAGTGGTACAACATTTCATAAAAATACAGATTACTTTTGACTCAATCCAAATCTTCCCCTTTATTTTGAGGATGATTTATTTTATCTCAACTACAAAGCAAGCCAAGACCTCCTTCCCCGCCGACAAAGCCCACGCCATAAATAACCACACAAATCTACTCAAGTTTAAAAACCCCCAACACTACATACAAGAACATGGGTCAGAATAGTTGATGCTAGCAGCTCTCGTGCTTCTTCCATCTTCGTTTTCTTTGGGCCTCCCCACATCCTTTGCCTTCGTACTTTGTTTCCAATGTACTTCAATGCCTGTCAAGAGGGGGAATTCACTTGAGTTAGCATCAGAACTGTAATCTGTGCAAACATACAACACAGATCTGTACGTATCCCTCAGTCAGTGCAACTCCACTAGCCACAGATGATACACGCTCCAAGCAAAGTGCAAAATACCAAACACATAAGTGATGCTAATAAAAAAAAAAACTAGCTTGAAAACTGACACGATTAAATATACAATGTGCTGTATATGTTGATAACATTTGGAATGGGAAGTGGTGAAAGAGCATGATTATTACAATATTACACGAAAGGGGATTGCAGAGATATAGGGAAAAGGGTTATACAAATTTCAAAGATACCTAATTATTTACTTTGACTTTTCACCTCCAGTTCTTTTGTGCACTTGCTAAGTTCCATTCAGATATTAAACCGTGAGGTGTCACTCACTGTTTAACAGGCACAAATGCTACTGGGTGGCATCCACATCTGTCTCCAAGAGTACTTTGCAATGATTAATGGATTCTTACTCTCTTACCAACTGTCCAAGAAATGGAATCAATCTGCAGAATTCAGGATCAGAGGAGTCAAAGACACTACCTATCCAAGTCCATTCATTAAGTTCCCTCGAAATGAAGCCACGCCCCCATGCCAAAGAATTACCCTCTCCACTAAACGTCAGACTATCCTGTCCATCCGTGACCTTCTTCCCCAAAACAGCTCCTTTCTGTTAATTTCATTTGACACTTCTTGCACACAGTAACTTCTGTATTTCTGCTTTTATACTTTCCTGGATGCTTCACATTTCTCTATGTTCCTCCAGCGTCACCATTTTACTCTTCTGATTCTGGATTAGGAAGGCCTTCATCCCACCTCTAACCCTGAAAAGCCCCGAAAGATGCAAACTAGACAGACGTTTACTTCGCAACACTCAGCATTACACATGGAAAGATCCAGTGAAGTTTATAATGAAATAGCAGAAATAAGACTAAAAGCTAGAAGAAGATTAATATGGACATGATGGAAATGCTGCCAGCAAAATGGCCTGTGTTGCAGCTAATTGAAAAAGTACACGTGAGTTTTTTTTAGGATGGAGTGTGGCTGTTCCTGTGGGCTTTACACCGGAGATTAGAACTGGAGGAGAACACCTACTTGTGAAGAAAACAGTCGTGTTCACATCACTGCGGCTTCTGCAAAATGGGGCAGGCAATTCTTTTGTAAAAAAATGCACAACATCCTCAATAAAACCTCGTATTCTTATGGACATTACTACTTGGAGAAAAGATAACCCTGAGCTTCTGAAAGCAAAGCATTTCTTGACTTCGGGTTGTTTTCAGTTAGGCAATGAGAGCAACGCCTCACTTTTGACAAGTCCTGTCCCCTTAAAATCCCTCAGCTTAAAATAACCCCCAAAAAACAAACCTCAAAACACGAAGTGTATGTCGAGTGCTGACATAGCAAAGTGGTCAATACGCACTGTCTTTAGACTTTTATGGCCTCTGGCCATGTGAAAAGACACACCTGCATCTGTGTAAAAATCTGAGCTTTCTGGCATTCTTCCAGACTAGGAGCAAATGCAGCCATCACATGTTCCTCTGTGCCAATCATCTGTACAATCTCTTGGTCACTCTCAACACCCATGGCCTAGGAAAAGAAGAAAGACAGAAATAGCACAGGCTTTATGTTAACTCACTGACATTTGCTTATGCTAATTTGGTATTGTTTGTCTGCATTACTACTAAGCAAGAGCTAGTTCTTCTCTAAGAAACTGTGCCATCTGGCACTGGCAGCACATCTTCTAGCTATGGCAGAGCGCTAAATGGAAATCTTGATAAGCAGCAGGAACACACACACACTCTGTGGAGAGAGTCCTTTTCTTCACTGACGGGAGTCATGCTTTTTCTCTGCTCTTCCTTTTCTATGCTTTTTCTCAAGAAAAAAATAAATAGCAGGTAATAACAACCCTACATGTGCAACAATGAAAACCAAATCAGCATCTACAATAAATAAAGGAAGATGAAATTTCTTGGAAGATTACACATGGTCTCTTCCCACAAGCCATTTCGCAAACTCAGTTGGACTGTGATGCAGCACATCCTATCTGTGAAATGTTTACAATTTACCTCCTTTGCAGCTCTGCGCATTTAGAAGATGACTTCACTGCACAATTCCACTTGAGAGCCATTCCATTATTTCCCTGATCCTTGGACACTTTGTTAGACTTTATGCTGCGGAAAAGGCTTAATAAACTAAGAAAGCGCTTAACAGGTTTAGAAAAATCTCTCTATCAGTAAGTGTTTCAAGGTGGCAGCCAGCAGAGAAGGCCTTTGTGGATTCCAGATGGTGCTAAAGCTCCCCCTTCACACATTTGCCTGGAGCTCTGCCATATCAAGAAACGTAATAATCTCCCTAAACCTCTTCTGGCTGGGTTATAATACGTTTCTCAGAACTTTGTGAGGAAGTTACGTTTGCATTCATATTATTCTTCCAACTGCCTGCCACAAAGACCATAGTAAATAATGGCCCATGTAAACCCCCGTATTCTGATTCTCATTAAAAACTGGCAGTGTCCCAAAAAGTTACTTTTTCTTCAAATATGCACCAATACCTTCCCTTCTTATTGCCTTCATTGGGTGTCACTTTGCTTAACACCTAGCTAACGCTATCCCCTTGCAAAACCATTGCCCTAATGGTGACATATCCAGCTTTTTTCTTTCATTTCTTCTTCCTTTTTCAACAAAGTGGTTGGCTGAAGTTCCTTTAGAGTGAAAATGCCTCTTCACCTTGTGGTTTATTAAAAATTAAAAGCAGTGCAAAAGTATCACACACCCATAACAGTGTGAGAACATCCCCATTTTAGTGCAAAGCTCAGCTCACAATTCCACCACCTCGGACAGACTCGAGTGCCAAATCAAGACACAGTTACATCACCAGATAAGACTGAGCAGTTCATTCCAACTAAGTAGTCATCCTTCTGATCTTAAGGCTCTTTTCATAATGAGAATTTACCCGTGTGATATTACTGTAGTTCAGATCCCTGGTTTTCAAGTATTATTATGCTCCCTCACCCTTTTAAATAAGGTCACACAGTAGTTAAAAAACCTCAGCAGAGTAGTTAATAAAATCCCTCGTGATCCAAGAGCCAGACTCGTAGGAAGGTCTACAAAAGCATGAAATCTTCACAACAGTCATTTTCCATGTGTCTGGACTTAACAGCTGACCAGCAAACCAGTTTAGGAACCACAACTGGACTCATACAATGACTGCACTTAGCCTACGGAAGAACAAAATTTTATTAAGGGTATATTTGTGCCATTCTAGGCACCTATACCAGAAACACATTTACCAATGGAAGCTGATACCATCCTATTTTTGTCCACCAGGTTAGTTTTAGGATGGCAACCAGATCGTAAGAGTAATTTAAAAAATGAGTAAGTGTGTATGTGGGGAAGTCAACCTGCAGTTTCACTGTGCTCTTTCATCCATTAAAAAACAGAAAGCCACAGTAAATTAAAGAGGGTTAATGCTTCCTTCTAACTTGACAAATTCTCTGACAAAAGTCTGACAACAAAATAAGAATAAGACATATCATTACATCCATGTAGATTTTCTAGTTGGTGTTTGTAGCAGCAAACTCACTTGAGAATTCTGAAATTGTGTGTGGGAACAGCTGGCATCTGCCACCAAACAATATATGTTGGATTGCTGGGTTAAGTGTAAACTGGAGGAAAATAATTTATGAGTAACGACCTAAAACCTAGGCAAATGACTGAAAAAGGTGTGTGATACAACAGCCTAAAAGGAAGCCCATTTGTTCTCCTCTGTACTCTCAACAATCACGAGCAGGGCTGCACACACAAATCCACCTAAATGCAGCATTAACAGGTAGGTAACAGGCCCATGCTGGTATCTGATAGACTTGTAATCTTAACACTTCCTTTTTTAGAAAATTTGGCCCTGATGTTGGAATAGTACACTCAAAACCAATAAATAAATAATTTTTTAAAAAAGAAAAATAACCAACAAAAAAACCACCAAAGAAGTACTCCACAATTAGCCTGTAACATCACTAGAATAGTAACAAAATATTCCTGAGTTGTTGCTTGTGTTACATAAACACTGAGGACATGCAAAGGAGGAATGGGTCCTGTGCTTAAAGTGCTCATGATCCCAGGACAAAGCTGAGGGAAAGGGAATTCACATAAAAGCAAAGCAGGAGACAAGCGGTCTTGTTGATTTTTGATTGAAAGGCAATGCCACAAAGGAACAGTTTTACAGGAGGGTGGAGGGGAAGGAGACATTGCAAAGGGATAAGTTAACAGCAGCAGTGGAAGGATGAGGAAGGAGACGGTAGCAGACTGTTGAAGAGCACGGCTGAGAAGCTGGTAGTCAATGGACATAAGACAGACAGGTCAAAGCAAACAGAATATTCAGATCACCCTAAATTGAAGTGGGAGAAAGTGGTCCAACTGGGGTCAACCAATTCCTAGGACTGGGAAGGTTCCTTCTCCCCAAAACATGTGTGTGTGCACATACACATACATATGCGAGAGTGTGCAGGAGAGAGTGCGAGCCCAGCTCTTCCTCCCCCAGCTCGTGTCTTAATGATGATGTCTAGGCGTTTCCATGGCAGTTCCCTAGAATGTAGTTCTGCAGTCCATCAGGCTAAATTACAGAATGGAGACAGGCAGATGACTGGATTAAAAAGATGTCAGGGAAGTTCAAGGTTGACATCACAGACAGAATTGGTCTGTAGCTTTCATAATTCAAAAGATACGAGCTATGAAACTGCAGCCATGGGAACCAGAGCAAGACCACCATTCAGCTGTTCCTCCAGAGTTGCATCTTAACAGCTCCAAGCCTAACACAGGTTTGTAAAAATGAAACTTGACCTGCTGCTCAAATCTTTTGCCGCAGGTCCTAAAGCAGCTCCTCACACCTCCCAAAAACTAAAGATCCTTCACCTAGTGATTCAGGTCATAAAATTCAACGTTGAAGTGCCCCTAGGTTACTTATAATTCTCTTCCTTCCCCAACCAGTTTTGGTGCAGCAGGCAACCTTCGTTTACTTCAGTTGCCAGGACTCACTCGACTCTACCAAATCGAGAATGCCCAAAAGAAAAAACAGCCCTTACCTTGAAACAGCTCTGACGTCCTGCAACGTAGGGAGCTCCCTGCAAAAGCAGCAGCACCACCTCACCTGTATCCCTCATGTTTTTCAAGACAGAAACACCCTTAAGTGCTACACAAATATTCCACATCTCCTCTAACACTTATTGCAAACCTTAAACTTGCTGAGCCTCGCCAGGTAAAGCACGCGTAGCTCATAGCCTGCCATGTTCAAAAAACGCACTACGCACGGTTCACACAGCCCTCTGATCTGTGCACAACTGACACATGGCCAAAACAACGGTCTCCTGGGGTTGCCAGTCAACTCAGGACATCCTAAATACCATCCTGATTGCATGTGTGTATTAACTAATGAAGCAGTGTTACACAGTAACCAGGAAGCAAATTAGTTGTGTCTGTTTCCCATTACAAGGCAGTTAATGGCCCTTTAAAAACCTCAACAAATACATGTTTTGGGGGCAAAATCATTTAATTCATATGCCTACTTCAAACCAAAAACTGCATTTACATATACAGGGACTGCACAAATGCCTCTGTCACTTTGAAGAAAGGGTAGGGGGAAAGTGTTTCGGCTAACAGAGCAACAAAGCACTAACTCCCTCACATCTGAAGAGCAGATGCTTCGAGTCTGTCCTAGAAGACTGCCAGGAACATGCCTTTTGTAGTCTATCAAATTTCAGTGAGCTGTGGTCAATGTGCTAAACTTCACAACACCGCACCTTACATGCATTCGGCACAACTAGCTGTTAAATCTCCAAATATGCCAATCACAAAGATCCTTACAGGTCTGGATGGCAGAAAAGCAAAGCAGCAGAACAAGGTCATTCAGGCTTGCAGGTTAGAAGATATTATGGATAAGGATGAAATGTAAGGCAGATGCCCCCTTCAGGGTGACCCTACAAAATCCAGTCCCCCCACCTCTCCAGATTAAGGGACCTTTAGACCCACGCTATTTCCATCCCTCTCCACAGCCTATGCACCTGGGTTTCCTTCCTCACCATGAAAGAAAGGATGAGGAACACTGTATGTTCAGGTCTTGCTCTAGCATGCAGCTGTGTCCATGATTCATGCCTGAAACACAAATGTGCCTTTAGATTCCAGTTAAAGGGAGATCTTTATGAATGTTAGGCCTCAGGGCTGTCAGCGGGTGGTTCCTGTAGTGATCCCAACTTCACAGGCCTTGCTTTTGACAAAGGTGTTTAAGGGATATAAGTACACCCCCACTTTACAGTTGCAGTAGCTTTAAATCCACATTAGATCACAGATCTCCAAATACCTGCTTTCTATTCTCTAAAGTTGCAATGATTTTCTATACCTGATCTGCATCTTAAGTCACCTGCAGGAACACCGGGCTATTTAACACTACTGGGTCTAGAGAGTCAATCCAGAATTGACCAGCCTTCTCCCACCGACCCCTCTAGCTGGATAGCAGCCCTCTATCAAATACTAGTCATTTTTTTAGTCAAAGCACAGAGGTCTGTGGAACTTGGTTGCAGCTAGTCTGGGAGGAAACGAAGAGCAGTAGATCTTTGTCACTGCTTTCTCAGTTTATTTTTTAATTGGAAATTATACAAGCAGTTGCTACAGCTGAAGTTAAGGAAGCAAAGGCAACCAAAACTTGAGACCTTAGATTGCCTGTACAGCTTAACTTACAAAAAAGCAGAAGACTTACTAGTAACAAGGAAGACCCCGTGCTCCACACCCAAGGCTTGGGTCACGGCAGAAAGGAATTATTCTCCTTGCTTTTCCAAGAAATCTCTTATACTGCCACAGGAGAGAGCTGAGGCTAAACGGGAATCCCGAAGTTAGGGATTTTCCAGTTTCAAGGCTATAGTATCTGTAACATTGCTTCTAGCAGTTAAACAGAACAAAGTAATACTGCATTACAGCAATGCCCAAGAAAGATCAGACGTCGGTGCCTGCCTAAGAATCTATTAAAAAGACTACCTGTGATTTATAGTTTACAGCTGGAAACTTGTCAAAAGCAGACAGAAGATTCCTGATGTTCACATGTCATTAAAGGAAAGGTAAGCAAAATGACCACTCAGGAGCACAGTTAAGTGCCAGTCAAGAATGGAACATTCAGCATAGTTAAAATGGGTGCAGCTGATTTGCTACTGTAATAAAATCAACATAAATCTTTGAAAAGCACTACTGCCAAGAGCCTCTAACAACTAAAGCTTTATTCAACAACTAAATGAAAAATTATGCAACACTATCTAGAATATAAAAGATACATATAGGCAGGGGGATAATTATGGCAAGCACTGCCAGAAGGTGATCAAATAGTCAGTACAATGCTGCCCTAAGAACCCCCAATAACCACCTCCTCAGACTTAATAACTCCAAGCAGTTACTCTTCTGTGAGCAGGTATTTATCCATACCAGGAGGGGGTGACAAAATGTAATGAAAGTCTGTAAGTGAAGGTGGACTCCAGCTGTTTGGCACTCAAGCAAATGGATTAAGAGCCACGTTAACTATTTCCTGCAACAGAAAAGTTGTGAATTTAATCCTGAAACTTTCTTGTTCATTTCTGTCCACAAATAAATTTCTCAACCTCCTTTACCACTGGTCACTAAAACCAGATGATCTCCTCCAACTACTTGAAGAGATTAGCTTAATCAGAGATAACATTCGGTTCTCACATCTAAACTCAATTATTAAACTATTTTCTAGTACCAAACCCAAAGCACTTCCTACAGGAAAACCAATTCTCACAGTTCTCTATCAGCCTAAGAGCTGTGGTAATGCAGAAAAGCCTTTAGTTGCAAACACCAACAAAACCGCACTGCAGGCAGAAACTGTGTGGATGCTGTGAGCAAGTGCTGCCCTCTCCTGGCAATTTATTTTCTCGTGTGATTATCACCTCCCCAACCTCCTGTGCCATAAACCACGACAGTGAAGTCAAAAAGGGAGCTATAGGGTTGACTTCTATTGGTTGCTAGATCCAGTCAGAGGCGTTTTTGTGCCCTAAGCCACCTTCACTATGAAAAGTGCCTCCAAGACTGCTGCCCCATTTCCTTCTGCACACACAGTGCACCAGGCTGCAAGGCCACCGGCAGCAGTGAAGCCTACAGTACTCGGGAGGGCAGATCCCAGCCTAAGGCCTGGCCACCCTGCTGTCACCCCCTTCACTAGCTCTAGCCCATGGCTTGGATATCACAGACGGATGGGGCTCCCAGCCCGGCTGAACGGCTAGGGAGTAGTCAGCGTCACGCCTTCAGATGTACGTGCCCTTGGGTGAGTGACAATGAAAGAGAAGCAGAGGGTGAAAGAAAGCAGTTCTGGAGTTTCACAGGCAATGAGGGCCAAGGCATGACACTGTCACCAGCACAGATGACATGGGAAATACACCCCAGTTCTTGCCCAGAACCATGGGTGGATGCCTCTCACAGCCCTCCTCAGGCTCACCAGGGATCGCTTCCTAACTGCATCGCCTGTCCATCCATTCACTGCACCAGAGATACTAGGGAGGATTCCTGAATCGAAAAGGGATTCTGAAGTGAAAGACTGAGGCAAGGTTCATTCACACGGAAAGAAAGTAAACTGCCAAGAAATAAAAGCCACTGTAGTAATCTTTAAGGATTTAGGAGTAGGTCTAAGAGCTGCAAGACTCCCCCAGAAGCTACTGGGTTTGTTCATGGTTGTGACTGGGAGCCACGTCTAATGAGCTCATGGCTACGATGTGGCTCCCCTGTCTGACATGGTGTTGAGCTCCTCAGCAGGCCACTAGTTGGAGGGGGGAACAAAGCCAGAAACAAAGACCCTAAACACGTTTGCAATGCGTCTCGCAATGAAACCAAACCCCTCTGACTTTCTGTAGCAACGGGTGCACAGGCAGCAGTGCAGAGGGACCTTACAAAGCAGTAAGGGGGTGGCAGAATTTGTCTTGGCACAGCAATGCTGTCCTTACAGAAAAATGTAGCACTTCTGCTCTTTTTACTGTACAATACAGATGACTTCACAGGGGGAAAAGAGCTTGCATTCTCTAAGACCTGCCAAGTCCTTCTGTAAATACTAACTTCTGAGAGCTGCTGACAATCTTTGTTCTTGAGCTACAGTACAGTTGTTCAGGGTTTTTTTTTTTGCTCCCACCCCCAACACCAACAGCTGTATTACCTTAAATATGATAGCAATGGGAATATCTTCTGATAGTGTGTTATGCCTCAGGTAAAATCTTCCTTGTTTCACAACCATATTTGTTCTGCTCTTCTTCTCATGGGTGGAACTGAAGTTAAAAAAAACACCATTATGTCCAACAGAATGTTTGCACAGACATTCCTAGGATCTCCTGTATAAAACCTATCAAGCTTGAGCAATCTTTCAGCTGAATTAATTCCACTTTCTACTCTTAAGTTACATGCAAACAGCCAGACATCACCCCATAACTCCAAGGTAATGGGTTTATCACCTGTGAGGGCAAAGGGCCATATTCAACCTAGGTAGAAGTCTGTGTTACTCAAAATCATATTTGCATGCTTTTATAATCAACTTGGATGCAACCAGCAAGGTCAAACTGTGCACAGGTACTGTGGCAACAAGCATGATGAGAAAAAAAGTATTTTCTGTTGTACATTTAACTTCATTTAGGCTTACTGTGGAACAGTAAAGTAGCTAGGAGGCTGCTGGCAAAGAAAGAACCTTTGAAAGTCCTACCACTGAACAGTGACAAGCACCATATATACCACCACACAGCTTAAAAACAAAAACTCAAACAAAATATAAATAAAACTCAGTTGAGGATGAAAGGCCAAATTGAGACCACCTTAGCATTTTCAATAATTGTGTAGTACAGAAATAATTTTTTTGTTTCCTTCTCAATTGCCTTTCAGAGTTTTTACACCAATTTGTTTTAGAGAGTCAGACAGAAGGTTACATCTAATTTCCAGTAACTTCATGTTACTTGCCACAAAATGAGACCAAACAACATCAGTTAGAAAGAGCACTTTCTTAACTTAAAAATCAGAACTGGCTTTTCCTAGCCTGGGGTGAATCCTGGAGCACTGGAGCAAAACCCACTGATTTTTGTGGCAATACTGTACTACTTCATTTTTGGATTAACGTTTCAGAGTACAAAATGACAGCTGGAAGAGAGGGGCATTGAACGTCTACAGCTTTTTCCCATTAAACTATATTAGGAGGGAAACTACACAGCTACTTCAACTACAACCACAAACTTTTAAAGCTTTGGTTTTACCTCCTTTATGTGGCTGCAGGCATTTGCCATACCTGGTAACAGAAGCGCCAACTGTGCCTTTTCGATCAGCTTCCACAATGATTCTGTTTTTGGATAACTGCTCTTGAATAAGAATTACTTTTTCTACACCTTTTACAATGAAATAGCCACCTATTCGAGAGAAAAAAAGATCTTGTATGTCAGTACCCTTGCATTTAACTTGCCTCCAATATGCCTTTGAATATAAATTATTACATAATAAACAGTAAGTACAGAAAGGACAAAGCAGGAGAGTAAGCTCTCCCTCAAAAGAGCAAAGAACAAACTCCGTGTGGAGCTTATTACAACTAGGAAAATGTTCCACTAGACTAAAGCAAACTTTTCCTAAGATCACATAGTGGTCTGGAGAACAATTGCACCCTCAGCAAGTTTGCTGATGACACCAAGCTGCGTGGCGCGGTCGACACGCTGGAGGGAAGGGATGCCATCCAGAGGGACCTGGACAGGCTGGAGAGGTGGGCCACTGCCAACCTCATGGAGTTCAACAAGGCCAAGTGCAAGGTCCTGCACCTGGGTTGGGGCAATCCCAAGCACAAGTCCAGGCTGGGTGAAGAACGGACCGAGAACAGCCCTGAGGAGAAGGACTTGGGGGTACTGGTGGATGAAAAGCTGGACATGAGCCAGCAGTGTGCGCTGGCAGCCCAGAAAGCCAACCATATCCTGGGCTGTATCAGGAGAAGCGTGGCCAGCACGTTGAGGGAGGTGATTCTCCCCCTCTACTCTGCTCTCATGAGACCCCACCTGGAGTACGGCATCCAGCTGTGGAACCCTCAACAAAATAAGGATATCAACTGGTTCAAGCGAGTCCAGAGGAGGTCACAAAGATACTCCGAGGGCTGGAGCACCTCTGCTATGGGGACAGGCTGAGACAACTTGGGCTTGTTCAGCCTGGAGAAGGCTCCGGGGAGACCTTACAGCACCTTCCAGTACCTGAAGGGGCTACAAGGAAGCTGGGGGGGACTTTTTACAAGGGCCTGTAGTGACAGGGCAAGGGGGAATGGGTTTTAATTGAAAGCGGGGAGGTTTAGATTGGATATCAGGAAGAAGTTCTTCCTGGAGGGGGTGGTGCGGCACC